CCTCCTCCTCCTCCTCCTCCTCCTCCTCCTCCTCCTCCTCCTCCTCCTCCTCCTCCTCCTCCTCCTCCTCTTTCCCATCCCCTTTCTCTCTCCCATCGTATCTGCTGTCATGCACCTTATGTTATATCTCCCACTTAGCCAGCGATAACATTCGCCGGGCTGTTAGTTTGACCAACCCCCAAGGCCGATCGGCCCTTGGGCGGGAGGGCAATGTTCGAACAACGTTCTTACATTCAAGCGTTCAGACTTTCAGCAGGAGCAGGAACATAAGAAGTAGGAGGCTCGAGGATGACAGCTTTTGCGCGCGCGCTCCAGAGGAGGTAGGCTGGGGGTCAGGGGAGAGAGGGGATACATACGACAAGGTGTGGGGGAGGAGGGAAGTTCAGGAGGAGCAAGGAACAGGGAATGTGCGGCGGAGGAGGACGGATAGGATCCCAGGAGGAGGAGGAAGAAGAGGGGCTCCTGGCCAGATTCAGCGAGATAATTCAGTTCCAACTTTTTCCCCACATCCTGAGTGGGGTTCTTGTTTTCCCAGAACACCCTCTCCTTCCCACCCACCTCCCGCTCCATCTTCCATACAGCACAATATTACCGACGAAAACTCAACGTAACACATACATACATTGTTTCCTACCACACATACCATCCCATACCAATACCATACCATACCATACCATACCCTACTATCCAACCAGAAACAACCATATGTTACCATACCTCGTAACCATACCATACCATGGCGGACCATAGCATACCATACCATTATCACACCATGCCACACGCCGTACCATACCATACCCCACCCTCCAGTACCATACCTCCCACCTCTCCAGTGACCCCGCCTGAGCGAGGAGGTTTTTCCGCAAACATAACTATTTACATGGTTTCCGTGCGGCTCCCACCTCTCCAGGGAGGCCCCGCCTGAGCGAGGAGGGGTAATCCTCAAACCATACTATTTTACATTGTTTCGGCCCCTCCGCAACCCCTGCAGGAGGCCCGCGCCTGGCGAGGAGGGTATCGAATACCATACTATTTTACATGGTTTCGTGCCCCTCCCACCCCTGCAGGGAGGCCCCGCCTGAGCGAGGAGGGTATCCGACAACCATACTATTTACATGGTTTCGTGCCCCCTCCCACCCCTCCAGGGAGGCCCCGCCTGAGCGAGGAGGGTATCCGAAAACCATACTATTTACATGGTTTCGTGCCCCTCCCACCCCTGCAGGGAGGCCCCGCCTGAGCGAGGAGGGTATCCGAAAACCATACTATTTACATGGTTTCGTGCCCCATCCCACCACTCCAGGGAGGCCCTCCGCCTGAGGCCCCGCCTGAGCGAGGAGGGTATCCGAAATACCATACTATTTATATGGTTTCGTGCCCCTCCCACCCCTCCAGGGAGGCCCAGCCTGAGCGAGGAGGGTATCGGAAAACCATACTATTTACATGGTTTCGTGCCCCTCCCACCCCTGCAGGGAGGCCCCGCCTGAGCGAGGAGGGTATCGGAAAACCATACTATTTACATGGTTTCGTGCCCCTCCCAAGCGGGGCCCCGCCAAAGCGAGGAGGGCATCAAGAAAATGGGTCCCACGAAACCGTTATTCTCTTTATGTGGGGAACTCCGTTAGCATAATTCATGTTTTCCCCGTAATTGCTTTCGCCAGGCGTCCAAAGACGCAGGTGGCCCAGGAGAGTGCAGCGAGAGGCTGCTCCTCAGGAGGGTGTCCTGGGGTCAGGGGATATTGCTCCCGCCAGTCACACGCCGTGAAGGGGGTACCACTGGCGGCCGGCGGTGCCCGTTCACGGCATGTGAGTGTTGACTTGGTTGTCCGCATCAGTGGTTGCGCAGGAGGAAGTGGTGGAGGAGGCGGAGGAGCTAGGGAAAGAAGTAGGAGGAGATGCGGGAGGATGATGACGAGCAGGAGGGAGAAGCAGGATGAGCGGTGAGGACGGACTGTTAGGAGGGAGAGGAGGTCGGGCGGGAGGAGCGAGGAGGAGGAAGGAGCGGTAGAAGTGTGAAGGGGGGTTTGGAGAAGGCGGGGGAGGGAGGTACGAGGAGGAAGGCGAGGAGGAGGCCAATCGACGTGCCGCGAGATTCTCATGAGAGGGCCTCACACAACCTTCACTCTCTCCCGGCTCACCCTCTTGCAGCCCCCGCCCCCACCACCTCGCCCCGCGAATCCTCACCTGCCTGTCCTTGTGGCGGCGGGACGGGTGGATCCATATGGGGGGGCTACGGCCAAACTCGTCGACAGCTGTCCTGGCGTTGGCCAGGGCGGCCGCGGAGCGCACGCCGCCTCGCGCCAGCACAGATCGCCCACCCACGCTCTGCGGCACCCGCCCACAGCTCGCCCCGTGTCCCGCAGGCGTGCCCGCGCAGGCTTCGCGCTCGCCACCCGCTGCCATACGTATCCCACGCCTGCGCCCGGCCGCATGCCCGCTGGTAGCACGTGGGGGCGGATGGGAGCGGTGGGTCCGGAAGGGAAGAGCACGCCCCAGACATGCGACGTCCTGTTTTTGTCCATGTGTCGTCCCCGGAAGTCCGGGCCCTTTCCCAGGGACCGGGTTTTCATCCTGTGTCCTTGTTTGACGGTCCCGGGGCCCGGTTGGGGCCTCTAGAGGTCGAAAACGGCGAAAAATGTTCGTCCTGATTTTTACTGTGTGACGCGATCGTGTCTGGGTTTGTGACCACCACCGCAGGATGGAGCCAACCTCCGTGCTGTTTTTTTGCGACGCGATCATGTCTGGGTTTGTGACCACCGCCGCAGGATGGAGGCAACCTCCCGTCGCCCGTCTCGGCGGGTGAGGGTTCCCAATGGTTGGACTGGCGGGCGTGGCCGGGAAGCTTCCTAGCGGCAAGGGGGAGGCCCTTGCACCATCCCATGTTGGCGATAGCGGCGATTGCCCACCTTTCGCAGCTGCCGTTCGTCAGCCTCCTCCTCCTCCTCCTCCTCCTCCTCCTCCTCCTCCTCCTCCTCCTCCTCCTCCTCCATCTCCTCCTCGTCCTCCCCCTCCTGCTCCTCCTCCTCCTCCTCCTACTCAGCTTGCCCGCGCCAACCTCTCTTTCGCCGCCCTCTTTGCACCCTACGTTCAAACACCTGCACCCGGCAGCGCGCCCGCTCCTACCATTAAGTCGGGCCTGTCCCCCATACAAGGGGATTTTGGACGACAAGTTCAACAGAGCCAAAACATGCGCAAACGGTATTCAAAACTACGAAATGGTCCCCAGACTATTCTTTGACTATTTTTGAAGAATAGTCTGGGGACCATTTCGTAGTTTTGAATACCGTTTGCGCATGTTTTGGCTCTGTTGAACTTGTCGTCCAAAATCCCCTTGTATGGGGGCCAGGCCCGACCTGATCCTACCGCGTCGGGGGGGGGGGGAGCCGCACGGCCATGGGGCCTCCGCAGCGGGGGCCGCCGCAGGGCCTCCGCGGCGGGGCGGCCGCCGCCACGGGCAGGCGCGGACCTCCCCCCCGCGCCCGGCTGAGCCCCCACGGGCGGCCACCGGACCTCCCCGAGCATTTTTGTTGGGGTGGAGGGCAGAGCTCAGCCACGCGCAGAAGGGGGGTGGGGGGAGGGGGGGGGGCTTCTTAGAAGCACCCCTGCTTCTTAGAAGGCGCGGGCCTTGTCTGCAGATGTAAGGCCAGCGCCTTCTAAGAAGCAGTCTCCTTCTAAGAAGCCCTCCCCCCCTCCCTCCACCCCCTTGTGCGCGCCGCCAAAGAGCAGGGGTGGGCCTAGACCGCAGACGGTGTTGGGGTGGAGGGCAAAGCAGGGGTGGAGGGCAAAGCAGGGGTGGAGGGCGGAGCATTTTTTGTTGGGGGGGGGGAGGGCAGAGCAGGGGTGGAGCTAGACCCCAAACGGTGCTTTGGCGACGTCGTGGGCCGTTTGCGTTTCGGTATCGTCTTGCGGCGAGGGCGGACTCAAGACACAACGAGGGAAAGCGAAAACGAAACGAACACGACAAACACTGTTTAGGTCCAGCCCTGGGGCAAAGGGTGAAATCTGAAATGCCGTTTCGATAGATGTTCGAGGCGTGAGTCTGCAAAAGGGGAATCACAAGACGGATTGATTTCGAGGTGCAAGAGCCCATATGGATTTCACCCTGAGCCCTCCACCCTAAGAAAATGCTCAGCCTTCGCCAGGAACCCTACGCTTAAGTCGGGCACGCCCCTCTACAGGAGGCATAGTCAAGAATAGTGGAAAATCTTACGGGGATAAATTTCTACTATTTCTGAACATTTTGGAATATATTTGGACTATGTTCGAATCTTTCGTCCAAAATCCCCCTGTAGGAGGACATGCCCGACCTAGCCCTACGCCTGCCTGCAGCTGTGGGTCCCCGCCGCAGAACTGGTGGACGCCGAGTGGGGATGCCTCAGGGCAGGGGGAAGAGGCCCTGGCGCCTTCCATCTCGGCTCGCGCGGCCAGCCTGCAGGCGCAGCCACCGCGCGCCGCCAGCCCCACCCATCTCCTCTGCCCTTCCTCTGCCCTTCGAGAATCCTGCGATGGTATGTCTAGATTCCTCCTCTCTCTCTCTCTCTCCCTCCGCGTTCTGCTGTCTTTTGCCAGTTTAAATTGAGTGTCTAACCCACCAGCTGGTGACACCAGTCACCTGGCTCACTAGTTTGAGCAAACCCCCAGGGGCGACCGGCCGTGGGGGGGAGGGCAGCGCCTGACAATTTTTTCTGCCTTCAGGCTTTCAGGCGTTCAGGTGGGGGAGGGGGATGAACGATGAGGTCGAGAATGAGGGAGCATTAGCATACGGAGGTGGAGAGGTGGTGGCAGATGGACAAGGAGGAGGGGTAACAAAAAAGCATGTGGAGGTGGAGGAGGAGGGACAGGATGAGGAGGTAGAGCTGTTCGCGGAAAGGTGGACCTCAAACGGCGCTCGGACAACGTGGAGTTGACTGTGTTCTGCGCCCACCTCGCGAGTGGCAAGGCTCCAAAGGACGACGCCATGCGCGAGCACGAGCTGTGCGGGCCAACCTTGGATAGGCAACGGGAGATTGGGAACCCAGGCGGAGGATGAGGAGAACTGTCGTTGCCGCGCTGCGCCGACCACAAGCAGGCTGATCACCATGGCCAGTCTTTCAAACATCAGCTCACCTCTAGGAAACCCATCTGCCTTGTAAGCATACGCACGCACATGTGATCGCTGTCGGATCTTTGACGAGGCCTATGTACCTGAACGCGAGCATGGCATTCCAGATGCGCTTGACGCACATACTTTGCCGTACGCATATAAAGGTGGGAGTGCGCGTCGGCGCGCACAAGTGCATCTACAAATTCTGCGTAGAGCGCACGCACGTACGTATCACATGCGTCTGCACATGCGCACGTACACACATACGCTTGTCAAAACTCACCCGTACTGCTCGCATGTGATATTGATGCACACGCATGCAGACGTACATACGTGTAAAAGCATCGTACTGTGCACAGTCGCGTGAGTAAGACGTACACATCACGGTTCGTACATTTGCCCATTCACACACACATATATATACACGCAGATGAATATACACGCTTGTATGTGCGCAGATGCCAGTACCGTATGGTGCAGATATCGCCACGCATACCTGCACTGTCACCTTCGAACGCATGTTGACATGTATCTGCCGACCGATGTCGAAGACGCATACGGCGAACCACCGCCGCCCCCTGCCTTTGGAAGCGACATGCAGGCAAGCATTAGGTCCAAGTCTGGCAAGCTATTGGATTCTGTGCTTCCCCAGCCGTTGTGGAACCCCTTGGGGGAAAACTTGGGAGAGAACGAGACATGAGGATGGGAAGGAGGAGAAGGAAGAGGATGATGATGAGGAGGAGGAGGAGGAGGAGGAGGAGGAACATGAGGCCACTTGAGGTCGTCTTGTGGCTTCTAGGAGGTTTCCAGGGATCGCCTCTCGGTGGCCTCTGACGGAGTTCTAGGGGGCCTCTTGGGGCCTCTTGAGGGCCTCCTGGGCCTCTGTGGGGCCTCTAAGCGGCCTCTGGGGGCATTCGGAGGCCGTCTTGAGGGCCTCTCTTGGCAGTCGTGCGTTCCTCTTTGTGCGCTTGAAGGCAGTCTTGGAGGTCTGTGGGGCTGTCTTGGGGGCCTCTTGGGCCGTCTTGCGGGGCTCCCAGGGAAATCATTGAGTTTGGCCTCATGGGTGTCCTCGTTGAGCCCTTCTGGGGGCGTCATCAGGGCCTCTTGGGCCATCTAAAGAGCAGATTGGGCCTGGGCCACCTTGGCCGTCGTGGAGGCCATCTTGGCTGTCATGTGGGGATTGTTCGTGAACTTTCAGGTCTTTCCGCGCGGCCAGCGGGATCATCGGGAATCTTATTGGGAATTTACTGGAACACGTCAAACGTCTGCCACGCCAGGCACCCTTTCGACAAATCAGAAGGGGGCGGCGGATCTGGTGGCCTTCGGTCCATCCCGCTACCGTGACTTTGCTTGTGGGTCATGGGCCTCTTGCGTGGGGTCTCTTGGAATGCCTCTCCCAGGCATCTTGGAAGCCTCTTGGGGGCCCCTTCGGGGTCTCTTGACGGTCTCTCAGGGTCATCTTGGTGCAACAGGGCTCGTGGGGCCAGTGCGTGTTCCCCCAACAGCGGCCGAACGCATTGACATACACATGTTTTTCGAGGATTTCTTACCTACGGGAAAATCATGCAGAGCACCCCAGACACGCCCGATAGCGCCCGGAACTCGTGCGTCCAGGCTCCATATCAATACGCCTGCACACACACATCACCACAAACACTCTCATATATGCATATATAGTCCGTGTGTATATGTATATATATATATATGTACATATATGTACACATATACATACATATATATATACACTTATGTGCTGCACACTTAACAGCACACATAATGACGAAGCTGCGCGGCATCGCATGTCCGCTGCCACGTCGCAGCATGGCGTGGAGGGTCTGGCCCGCAGCTCCAGGAGGCCCCCCACGGGAGGCAGATTTTGCCAGGCACTGGAGAGGCCGCCTTGGACTTTGAGGCAAGACAGATCCTTCACCTTCGCGATTCCATCGCCCAGTCACGGCGCAGCGAGCCAGCAGGACAGAAGGGGCGCGGATCGAGGTGCCGACATGGACCTTGAGGCAGGACGTGTCCCTCCCGATGCCATCCCCCAGTCGCGGCGCAGCGAGGAAGCATCATAAAAGAGGGGCTTGGAGGAGGTGGTGGGGGGGCGGGGGGAGGAGGAGAAGGAGGACGAGGAGATAGAGGAGGAGGAGGAGGAGGAGGAGGAGGACGAGGAGGAGGAGGAGGAGGAGGAGGACGGAGGAGGAGGAGAAGGTGCTGGGGGGTGGGGGGTGGGGGACTCCGCACATTTGTTCCTCGCTCCCCTCGCCGCGGTCCCGCCCCCCCCCCCTCCTCGACACCATCCGGGGGCACGACCTAAGCGGTATTTGGGCGATTTTGTAGGCCGCTTTCGTGTTGCTGTCGTTTTACAACGAAGACGGGACGAAGACAAAGCTAGGCCTTCGAGGCCCCACCCTCCCTCCCTCATCGACGCAATCCGGGGCTCGACCTAGACGGTGTTTGGGTGATTTCGTCTGGGGCTCGACCTAAGTGGTGTTTGAGCGATGTCGTGTTTTGATTCTCGTTTTGTAGCGGAGGCGGGACGAAGACAAAACGAGGCCCTCGCGGCCCCGACCCCCTCGACAAAGACCGGGGCGCGACCTAGACGCTGTCTGGGCGATTTCGTGGGCCGCTTTCGTGTCGCTTTTCGTTGTACTGCGGCGGCGGGACGCCAGCAAAACGAGGCCCTCGCGGCCCCGCCCCTCCCCCCTCCTCGACAGAGTCCGGGGCGCGACCTAGACCGCGTGTTGGGCGATGCCGTGGACCGTTTGTCGTTTGGCTTTCGTTTTACAGCGGAGCCGGGACGAATACAGAACGAGGGACAACGAACACGAAGCGAAAACGAAAAGCATGGCTCTGGTCCAGCCCTGGCGCAGTCAGCTTCGTACTCGCTCTGGCACGTTAGGGGTCTCCGCACGCTTGTCCTCTTGTGGCAGGCAAGACGCAGCTCCTGCGGCAATGCAGGGGCTACCCAGCCCGGTCACATTGTTCTTCTCGGGCATCGCTTCGCGCTTGAATGGCCAGGAGCCTGGGGCGCAGAAGCGGCAGACAGACGTACGCTGGCCTCGGGGCGCGGAAGCGCCCTTGGCGCTGCTCCGCAGGGTGCGGGATTGATCTGGAGCGTGTGCGCACATCTGTACGCATCCGTGCGCAAAAGCATGTACACGTGCACGTGCATTCGAGCACGCAGTCACATCATCATATACATTTCCTGGTGCATACGCACCGACACAAGGCATACACCAGTGTGCAGCTATGAATTCACGGACGACCAACGTATGAGATCGCACACCACATTCCCTAATCCTGGTACAGCTACACTTATGCGTGCACATATGGTTGCACCTGTAATCATGCACATGGCGCACCAGCCATCAATATGATTGCAGACGTGTGATGTACAGGTACACGTATGCATGCACACCGTTCGGTATAATAAATCAGTAATCCGTATACATCCGTTTACACTGTCTTGCGCTCACAGCATTTCGCATGCACACTTTGGCATACACACATACATCACACACACGCACACATGTGTGTTTCCGCAAACGCGTACGTAGGCCTACAATGCAGGCCCATCGCAAGCTTATGATTATGTAGATGTTTCGGCTCACGAATGTGCATACACACTCGCGTGCATGCACCCGTTCCGTGTACCACACAAACTAGTACGAGATATCTACCTACATGTTCCAACACCGTATGCGCAATCGAGTAGATCCAATAGCACCTGATCAGGCGCGAGGGAGGCGGGTGGGAGGATAGTGGTTTGAGAAGAAAGTGGAGGGGGGATGGGTGTGGCCGGGAGGTTGTGGCGGAGAGGGGGGGGGGGGCATCGGGCGGGGCTAGGACAAGGATGCATCCGTTCTAATGCGTTCCTGAACGCTCTCAGAGCGTTCCGGAACGCTCTGAGAAGGCCGCGGCGCCCGATACATCTTCCAGAGTCGCCGGATCTCAGAGATTCCCGATTTGACCGTAGCCGATTATATCCTCGTCCTAGCCCCGTCGCAGGGCAGAGAGGGTTCTGCTCCTCTGGGTTGGACGCCGACGGCCGGGGGAGAGCGGGGAGGGGGTGGCGAGGGCGGGGCACGCTGCGAGGCACTGCGAGGGGCGGGGGCGCGAGGGAGAGCACAGAGCGAGGGAGCGAGGGCAGAGAGGCAGAGGGAGAGGGGAGCGGGGAGGGAGAATCGGGGGTGGACAGAGCCCCCAACAGTGACACGTCGATCAGTGAATTGTCCGTTTGCGGTTCTCGAGAGGGCGCCGCGGCCGTTCTTGTCCAGGCCTGCGCCCGCGAGGTGTGGGCCTCAGGTCGTTTTCACGAAACCACGTTTTACTAAAGGGAGGTCTGTCCATCCCCGAGAGGCAGAGGAAGAGGGGAGCCGGGAGGGAGAACGTGGAACGTGAGTGTGGCGGGGGCGAGGAGTCGATTGCACGCAAGAGTGGCCTTTCGCCAGAGTGACCCTTGGTGGGTGGGGGCCCGGTGGGATCCCCCGGTCGCCGAACGCGGTGCGACAGTAGCGTCTTCCGCGCTCGCGTTTGGCTTCCACGCGGCCCCCAAAAAGCCGGGCACCAAAGATCGCCCTTACCCAGAGCCGCTTCTGCGTGCAGCCGCAGGACGCGAAGGGCGAGAGCGAGGGCAGGAGACGAGGGACCGGAGAGGGCGGGAGGGAGGCCGTGGTCCCCCCTGACTCTCCCCCCCAGAGGCAGGGCGAGGCGAGGGAGCAGAGCCTCTGCGAGCAGTTCCACGCGAGCCCCCCGCCTTCTCTCGCCGCGTCCCCATCATGCCCCCTCCGTGCCTTGGTCTGCCCGGCCCCCCACCCCCAGTCCCCCGTGCCGCCCGCCGCCCCGGGCCGAGTGGCGCCTGCTCCAACTCAGGCGGTCTCTCACGGCCTCGAGCCCTCGAGTCCGCCGCCACGCGGCCCTGGCCCCCCCCCCCGCCACGTCCCCTGCGCCCCGGTCCCGGGTCGTCGACCCCCTCTCCTCCACGTGCGCCCGCTCTCCCGTGGCCCTCGTTGTTCCCCTGGCTCCTGTGGTTCCCCGCGTCCCCGTCCTGGGTCCCCTGGCCCCTGCCCCTGTCCCCGCCGCCGTCCCCCCCTGCCTGAAGCCTTGCTCCTGTCTGCCAGGCGCCCCCGTAACCCACGCTCGAGCGGCCGCCAGCGAGGGCACATTCCACCCCCCGTTCCCCCCAGAATCTCTGCTAAAGAAGAACGCAAAACGGTAGTCGGTTACAGACACTCGGCAGTATAGTCAAAAGCACCGTGAAGGATGGCCCTCTTTGCGCAAGGGCACCTGGCATCCTTCGGTTCTGGCCAGCCTTATCAAGTTTTCGACTTCGCCGGCCCAAGGGTGCCCTTGCTGATGCGTCCGCCCAGCGCCTTGGGGGGCAAGGACGTCGCTGGGCTAGGATCCCCATACATCCTTGGGTTGTCTGAGGGTCGGTGCGTTTTTGTTGTTTTTCCATTTCGGAGCGTTATAAGGGGTCTTGAGTCCCTTGAGTCCAATCCTTATCGCTGATTTGACACCCGACGGTAGGCTGCGCCCGAGAAACAACTCGCATGTGATTTTGATAGGGGTGGTGGTGGTGGTGCCCACACATTGTCAGCCGTGTGCGCCCACGACCTGCATACCAAAGACTAACGCACATGCATAGCGGGCACATGTTCCATACACCAAGTTAAGCACCCCGCCGGAAAGTTGCATGAGCTTATGTCAGAGATGGTGCGGCGTCAGCATACGGTCCAAGGCGGGCAGCCGAGTGCGCTGGCGCACCTGGCGCGCGTCGTGCACTTGCCGCACGTGGCATACCCAGCGCGCCCTGCGCACGGGGCGCGCGGCGCAAAACGCGCACCGTCCACACTGCTCGTCTGGCGCACCTGGCGCGCCATGGCACGCGCGGCGAACTTGGCTCGAGGGCTCCGCCTGCGCACCCGGCGCATCCAGCTCATGTGGCCCTCGTGGGATGGGCCTCTCCGCCCCTGCCCCTGCTCTCTCCGCTTCCCCCCGTCCCCGTTCTCCCCGTGCCACTGGCCCTCAGCCTCCCCCCTCTCCCAGGTCCCCCCTCCCCCTCCCCTTCCCTCCACACTTGCACCTGGGGACTGTGGGCAAACGGATCACGCGTGCTGTGTGCCATCCAACCCACCGGCCCACCCAACAGACCACGTGGCGGTTCCGGGCCGCCGCCAGTGACACCGCGCGCGGTGCTAGCATTCGTAGACGATGGATCCGTCGTTGCCCGCAGCCGCCCCCCATCTTGTTGTGTTACTCATAGGCCGCGTTTTGGTGCTCAGCAGCCTTGCGGCGCTCGCAAGCAATCGTAGGCGAATTTAGATGGCCATCATAAAAATTCCCATTCTCGAGCACGCAGCAGTAATATTCGTAGGCCCCCCGCGCACCCGCGCCGCCCACATACCTTCAAGTGTTGCAGGCGTGGGGGGGGGGCCTTTTCTCCATTTGCCCCCCTGCCGTTTCAGCGTTTCCTTTTGATTCATACACTCTGGAATGTTGTCTTCCTTCGTGCTACCTGTTACCTCGTAGCGCTCGCGTATCAAGCCCGTAACGTCTTGTTCTTCCACCTATATTGCCAGGCGTGCTTTGATCTACAACTTCTCGTCGTCCTACCTGCTCCCCACTTACCAGCTCCGCCACAGAGGGCCCCCCCTGGTACAAGTATAGATACACGATACATACAAGCTTGTTCTGCAAGTCTTGACGCTACGGCAGACGATGAAGGACGACGAGGAGGAGGAAGAGACAGGATGGAAGTATTGTCTGAGAGCTACAAGGTTGCCTTGCGCTCCCATGTATGGGCGCTGGCATTTCTGTAAGCACAAGCCTGCGTTGCACAACTACCTGACTTGAGGTGCGCGCGCGCCCTCTGGTGAACAGTTGCCTTAAGGTGTACACGGGGCATTTTTTGCGATATGCACAGGCCAGCGCTATGATGTACGCGCGCGTGCGTGTGTCGTGTGTAAAAGCATCTATGTGTGTGCGTGTGCAGACTACTGGCGAGTTATCTCATTTGTTTATCGTGTTTCACCTTCCTTGAAATAACATGTTCACGCTACCCCTCAACCAGGACAGCACGCTTGGGCTGGCCGCAATGATCAAAGCTTCATGCTTTATGACCTTGCTTCTGGTCGTGGCCCGTTAGCTTTGCACCCGTGGGTGCCACCACACCGCGGCATCGAAGGCAAAACCGTCTTGTTGTACACGGGCCACGGGTCGGGTGCGTCGGCTTGTGGTGTACATAGTCTTGTGGTGGTGTGCAACAGCTGTGCGTTTATGGACTAAAACGGCCTGCGCTTGTGGTGCACGAGGCCGGGTGCAGCGGACCGTTGTGTGTTTGTGTACGCGGGCGTATGGTGACATTGGCCTGTTTTGGTTGTGGAGGCAGGCGCGGTGGCGGTCTGTGCGCAGCAGGCTCTTGCGTTTGGTATGTGAGGGCGTGCGCTCGTGGTGTGCATACGACTGTGTGTGCAGCGGCGCGCGGTGCGCACATCCATCTGCCATGTGTGTTTTCGCGCGTGCTTCCACAGGCGTGTGGTGTGGGCAGGCCTGTGGCGATGTGTGCACGCGTTGTGGTGCGCGTAGGCCTTTCGGCATGCGGGCATGTGCGGCCATGCTGTTCTAGCCATTGGAGACTTGCTTTAGCACGTGCATCAGATCGGTTCTGTATGTGCACCCACGCAGCACGAACTGTAGTGGCAGCGCCAACTGTAACAGCAGTACCAGCAGCCAAAGCAAAAACGTAATCAAGGTTTCACAAGACGCATCAGCATGACTAGCAGCATTGTCAAAACGAGTAGCAGTTGCAGCATCGGAAGCAGCACCAATAGTAGAACCAGGAGCATTGAGCAATCAGCATCAGCACGCATGGGTCGGAGGTTGGGGGGGTGAGATCTCAGTGGAACGGAGACCCCCCACCGGGAAATCGTTTCGTTTCGTTCGTGTTGTGCGTGCGGGCGAGGCGAAGCTGCGTGGGCGCGCGAGAGGAATGGACCCGCCGTTGCTAGGGCGAAGTCAAGACAAATGATTCTCCCCCGCCTGCCCGTCCGTCCGTCCGTCCGGCGGCGGCTCGCGGTGTCCCGCGGTGTCCCGTGGTGTCCCGTGGTGTCCTGTGATGTCCGCCGTTGCCAGGGCGAAGTCGAGACAAATGATTCTCCCCCGCCCGCCCGTCTGGCGGTGGCTCGCGGTGTCCTGCGGTATCCCGTGGTGTCCCGTGAAGTCCTGTGGTGTCCGCCGTTGCTAGGGCGAAGTCAAGACAAATGATTCTCCCCCGCCCGCCTGTCCGTCGGTGGCTCGCGGTGTCCCGCGGTGTCCCGTGGTGTCCCGTGGTGTCCTGTGGTGTCCTGTTGAGTGAGATCGATAGTGAGACCGGTAGTGAGATCGATGCGGTGCCCCGAGGTGTCCCGTGGTGTCCCAAAAAGTGAGATCGATAGTGAGATTGATAGTGAGATCGACAGGTGTCCCGTGGTGTCCCGTTGAGTGAAATCGATAGTGAGATCGATAGTGAGATCGATGTGGTGCCCCGAGGTGTCCCGTGGTGTCTCAGAAAGTGAGATCGATAGTCAGATCGATAGTGACATCGAGAGGTGTCCCGTGGTGTCCCGTGGTGTCCCGTTGAGTGAGATCGATAATGAGATCGATTGTGAGATCGATGTGGTGTCCCGAGGTGTCCCCTGGTGTCCCGTGGTGTCCCATGGTGTCCTATGGTGTCCCGTTGAGTGAGATCGATAGTGAGATCGATAGTGAGACCGGTAGTGAGATCGAGAGGTGTCCCGCGGTGTCCCGTGGTGACCCGTGGTGTCCCGTGGTGTCCCTTTGAGTGAGACGGATAGTGAGATCGATATTGAGATCGACAAGTGTCCCGCGGTGTCCCGAGGTGTCCCGTGGTGTCCCGTTGAGTGAGTTCGATAGTGAGATCGATTGAGTCAGATGTTGGTTCCGCCCCCTCCCCCCCCCCCACAACCTCCTTATCACCCGAAGGGTGGTCGTATAGATAAGAAAGTATGCACAGTAGTAGTAAAACAGTGGCAGCAGAGTCTTGGCAGCAGTAGCCGAGTCAAGCTACCTTCTCTGAAGGACGGTTGTCTCGCTCACACCCACCCGCCCTCCCAACAAATGAGTAGCACCCAGGTCTCAGCATGGGCAGGGGCCGCCATCGGCAACCATCGGGAACTAATGTAGACGCCAGCCAGATGCGCGACGCCTGCGAGTTGCGCCGCGCGTGCCACGGAATCCCCATCATGCCTTCCAGATAATCATGCAAAATGATCGCGGGGCGCTTGCGCATGGTCCAAGATGTCGCCGCAACATGCGCTGTGCATTATCTTTTGAAAAGGCGGGCCTGCACACAACAGGCAAAATGACGCTCCCTGCCGCCCGCTTCAAGAACACATTGTGAAGTGATCGATGGGCGCCCGAACGTGGTTCCGAAAATGCTGCAAAGTACATGTGGCACTGCATCTGGACATGGCGGAGGGGTGGCATTGCACCTATTGTTTTGCCGGTCGTGTTATTGATGCGCAGTTAGTTATCAAGGAGCGGAGAGAAACCTCTCCCCGAAGGAGACGGAGGATATTGGAATAATTCACTTCCTAAACCACTACGCCCTAAAAGGCGGTGTGATTAGTAGCAGCAGCAGCAGCAGTATCTGCAGCAACAGCAGAAACAGCAGAACTAGCAGCTCAGTCAGACAGGGGCGCTAAATAATCCGGTCGCAAAGCCGCCCGCATCATGCGCAATGTCTGTCGTCAAAGCGCCGATGCTTGATCTTCCCCTGTGTACCCTCACACCCTCTTCCCACCGACCCGCTCCTCTACGCTCCGAGGCTAGGTCGCAGAAGGTGGCCACCATCTTCTGCATGGACGCCAACTCAACCCCAGACAGCCATGCGGAGAGCCCGGAGAAGGTTGGGTGGACGGCAACGGGGTTGAAGTGATGCGGTGGCAGAATAGGGGCCCTTAGGAGGCCCTCTGGGGCCACCTTTCGTGCCACCTCCCTGTAACACTCGACCGCCCCCCTTGATCCAGGCCGCCCAAAGGGGGCCCGAGTAGATGGGGGATCGTGGACCGCGCCGCATTATCGATGCATCGGCGATGTAGCACCATCTGAGGCCCATTTACCTCCGTGCCGACGTCGCCGATGAGGCGCGAGACTCCGACCCCTGCTATTATGGCCCCGTCTGGGCGGCTTCCCGTTTATTGCCCTCCCCTTCAGCATCGGTCGGGGGCCCCCAAATGGTGTGGTGACCACACCGTGTGGTGAGAGTGTGGAGGTTCGGGGTCGCCGCACGAATTTGGGACTCGGTTCGTTCTCCCAGGACGCCTCGGGCGACCGGGGCCTCCAGGATCCCAAGACCGTTCGGTGACGGACCGCGCGGTGAGTCTCCTGGGATTTCGAGGTCACCGCGCGGTATGTTACTGGGCCCGGAACCCCCAATGAAGCAAAAGTCCGGGCTGTTCCGCCAGGCCCGATTTCCACGAACAGCTCGCATTGGGGGCGTGGAGGGGGGGCACTCGCTTGGAACCCCCGATTTATTTGGACCCCCGATGTATTCCCACACCCCCCTCTCGGGCGACGAAGTCTATGCGTCTTCGCTCCTCCGTGGCCGGGCTATTCTGAACCCATGAGCTGTGTGTACGCCTTCCTGGCCAAGCCGGGAGGGCGTGGCGTATACACCGCCGCTGGTTTCAGCATGGGCCAGGCCAGGGGAGCAGTGGATATACTCCAGATTTCGTAATAAAAGGGAGGGGGTCACAACCCTCCCAGACCACAAGTTTGAGACCCCCCCAGACCATCCATGAAAGGGCGGCACTTTGCCCAGACCCCCCCTAACCCTTCAAGACAGCTCAAATCAGACCCCCCCGCCAAATGTACCCCCCCCCCTACTTTATTATGGAATCCGGAGTACATTTCGTCGTCTTGCCCTCAGCATCCAACCGATGAGGTCACGCCGTGGCGTGCCATCCGCAGGATGCGCGGCGCCAGCTCCGTGTGGGACGGCTTCTTCGACGAGAGCGGCAACCCTCGTGCTGGAGGGGCGGGCCGCGAGCCCCGCGGCAGAGGTTCGTGCGGTGGTCGCGGTCGAGGCGGTGACGATGGCGGTGGTGATGCGTCCTGCTTCACTGTTTCTCCACTCTTGCCCCATCCCAGAAATCCCCCCTCAAGCGCGGTGCTTGTGGGTGCCTCTTTGGGGGAAGTCGACTTCGAGATACCCGCGGCGACGACGATGCCGATGATGATGGCGATGCCGATATCGAAGAATATGGTGATGGTGGTGGTGATGGTCTCCTCCCCTCGCAGGCGCAGGCAGTCCACTCGGAGGCGGCGGTTGAGGCCTCAGCGGGCCCTGGAAACGACAGGGCCGTTTCTGTTTTTGGTTCCGTTTTGCTGTTGTTGTTGCCAGTTCCGTCGCCGTTTTTGCTGCCGGCTCCGTTTCGCCGTTTTCGTTTCCGGCTCTGGTTCCGGTTCCAATCCCGTCGCCGTTTTTGTGTTGCCACTTCCAGTCGCCGCTTTCTTTGTTTGCCGCTTTTGTTCTAGGGGCATGTTTCAACACTGCTCGACACTTTTCGAGAAACGGCACTGCCGTTTCCGGGGCCCACGAAGGTTGAGGCAGCATGAGGGAAGCAGGGGCCCCGAGGATCGAGGATCGATCGAGGATCCAGGATCGAGGATAGGCCGGGTTGATCGGAGGATCGGGGATCGAGGGCCGGAGAGGAGCGGGCATCGAGGGCCCCTCCCGAGAGGAGCCAGCGGGCCCCGAGGCAGGGGGGCTCGGATCCGCATAGGGCACCCCGGGCACCACCACCGTGCCCGGCCAGGGCCCCCCCCGCCGAGGCCCGGAGGGCCTGCACGCCGCCGTGGAGTGCATTGGTGGCCCCGGCCAGGTGTGGTGGCGGCGTCCAGGTGCCCTCGGCGAGCCAGAGGTTTCTCCCTGTATTCGGGCTCCTCCTCCCCCCCTTCCTCCTCCTCCTCCTCCTCCTCCTCCTCCTCCTCCTCCTCCTCCTCCTCCTCCTCTCCTCCTCCTCCTCCTCCTCCTCCTCCTCCTCCTCCTCCTCCTCCTCCTCCTCCTCCTCCTCCTCCTCCTCCTCCTCCTCCTCCTCCTCCCTCCTCCTCCTCTCCTCCTCCTCCTCCTCCTCCTCCTCCTCCTCCTCCTCCCTCCTCCCTCCCTCCTCCTCCTCCTCCTCCTCCTCCTCCTCCTCCTCCGCCTCCTCCTCCTCCTCCTCCTCCTCCTCCTCCTCCTCCTCCTCCTCCTCCTCCTCCTCCCTCCCTCCCTCCCTCCCTCCCTCCCTCCCTCCCCCTCCCTCCCTCCCCTCCCTCCTCCCTCCCTCCCTCCCTCCCTCCCCTCCTCCCTCCTCCTCCTCCTCCTCCTCTCCTCCTCCTCCTCCTCCTCCTCCTCCTCCTCCTCCTCCTCCTCCTCCTCCTCCTCCTCCTCCTCCTCCTCCTACCTCCTCCTCTCCTTCCTCCTCCTCCTCCGCCTCCTCCTCCTCCTCCTCCCTCCCTCCTCCTTTCCTCCCTCTCCCAGCCCTTCATCTCCAGCGAAGGGGCGCAGGCCCTGCCTGTGCCCTGGAGCTGTCAGAGAACGACTCGGGCCGAGCAACGGGTCCCTCCCAGGGGAGGCCCGTGTCCGTCAGGGCCCGTGTCCTCCCAGGCCCCTCTCCTTCATGGCAAGGCCTTGAAGTTTCCTCCTCCTCGCCCTCCAGCTCCTCCTCCAGCTCCTCCTCCTCCTCCTCCTCCTCCTCCTCCTCCTCCTCCTCCTCCTCCTCCTCCTCCTCCTCCTCCTCCCTCCCCCCTCGTCCTCCTCCTTCTCCTCCTCCTCCTCCTCCTCCTCCTCCTCCTCCTCCTCCTCCTGGTGGCTCCAGTCGCGCACTGAGTTGCCTGCTTCGCTCGGGCTTTGGGCAGTGCTGTGAGGGCCTGTATGTCATGTGTAGTGTCGATGCCATGTCGTACTTGTGGCTTGGGCGTGCCTTGGCGTGCTCCATGAGCGCGGGTAGGCCCAGATTGGAGCATGCGAGCATGAACGGCACTTGCACTCGTGGGAGTTTCTTGCCGAGCTCGACACACGAGGAGCCTCCAAGACGACGGTGTCGACGCCGTTGTCTTCGGCGGGAACGCGGATGCGTGCCGATACCGCTCAGCAGATGCTTGTGTGTTGCGCGCCCGTGGTTGCGAGATCCACTCAAAACTGCTCCCCCGCTCCCTGCCGGTGTCCGTCCTGGCCAGTTCCTCGAGCCGCGTCCAGTTGTGGCCACCCAGAGCATCCAGAGACGCCCGAGCACCTCCAGTGCGCTTGGCATCGCTCGGACGTGTGCATTTTTCCTTTGGCGAGGACCATCGAGGAGCATCCTTGATCATTTGGCGAAAAAACCACGCACGAAACCCAAAAAAACACAGGGAATGGACGTCCGAGCGATGGCCAGTGCGACGACGTCGACGCCGACGCCGTGGTCGGCGGGGGCGCGGAGGAGCGCCGATGCCGCTCACCACGAACAAGATGCGCGGGCCCCTCTCCGACCAGCCCCGGAAGATCGGCGAGCACGCGGCGGGGCCCCCCTTCGGGGCGTCCGGGTCGGCGGGGGCGCGCTGCCCTTGGCGTCGCCGCCGCCGCGGGGGTCTCGTCGGCAGGGGCGCGCCTCGTCGGGTCCTTTTCCTCCTCCTCCGCCTGCGCCTCCTCCGCCTCCTCCTCCGCCTCCTCCTCCTCCTCCTCCTCCGCCTCTGCCTCCTCCTCCTCCTTCTTCTCCTCCTGGAGGGTCGCCCGGGGTCTGGGGCCTGCCCAGCCGCCGCGGCGCGGCGCCAGCCGCGTCGCGTCGTGGCAGCAAGAACAGCGGCAGGGTTTTCGCAATGGTCGTCAGCTGGGCGCCCTTACTGCGTCTTGGGGCTGTGAACAAAAATAGGGGGCCACATGCGAACCCTACCCCTACCCCCCACGATTTCTGAGGGGGAGGGTGGGGTTCACTTCGTTCGGGAGCTCCCGAGTGAAGTGAACCTCACCCTCCCCCTCAGAAATCGTGGGGGCAGGGGTAGGGTTCGCATGTGGCCCCTTAAAAAAAAGCTCAGGAAGAACAGCTGGTCCTGCGGGAAGGGTCGAGCCCTCCAGGGGCCCACGCTGTGAAGAAGTCGCGACGTCGAGTGCCTCGGGCTGGGGATCCTCCGACCCGTGTCCCTGGCAGTGCGTGTGCGGACGGGGGCGGACCCCCCTTTGAGGCGGGGCTTCCCGTGTGCCTGTGGCGGCTGGCGGCAAGCTTTTCCGCCACACTCTAGCTTCAACGGTCGTCTCTCCGACTCCGGTTCCCATCTCTCCGACTCTGGCTTCCATCTCCGACTCCAGGTCTCTTCCCCCTCGTCCTCCTCCTACTCCTCCTCCTCCTCCTTCTCCTCCTCCTCCTTCTACATTCCCTCTCATCTCCTCCTCTTCTTCTTCCTTCTCCTCCTTCTCCTCCTCCTCCTCCTTTCATCTCTTCGACAACCTCTTCGATCGGGGAAACGTAAGACTCGAGTGCGCCAGAACTCGGGTTCGCCACAGCTTTTTAACGAGCGTGTCCTTGATTTTGACCGTCCAGTTTTCGTGAGGTGGTTGCAGCGGGAGCCCGCGTCAAATTTCAGACTGGGTCTCGTCATTTCCACGGTGGCCCCGCCAGGCCAACCCGAGTCCCCCGAACTCGAGTCGCACGCCCCCCCGATCCGACTGCAGCTCCACTGTCTCTGACTCCGACGTCTGCGCGCTCGTTCGCACGACCACGCACGACGCCAACCTCGACCCATGAGTGACCGTGCTGGCGCCCTCGCGCCCACCCGCTGCACCCGCTGCACCCGCTGTGTTGCGGTGTCGCGCGAGAGCGGCCCTGCGCCGGAGTGATCTTCGTTGCTGGCTCACAAGGAGAGGCTCCCCCCGGCTCTGGCCTGAAGCGGCACCAAAGGCGCTCCCCAGATTTACGACATCTTCCACTGTTCCACACGGGCTGCAGAAACGATGGCCGCCAGATATTCTGGAAATTCTGGAACGCATCATGCGCCAATCGTATCACGACATCATTCCCGTCCTAGTGCTACCCCGTTCTTTCAGCCGCTCAGGTGCACCTGAGGCGTAAGTACACACACTTGGCGTCACGGGGTCGCGCGAGGGTGGCTGCGTTCTGAGAATGCGGGGGCGAGCTTCGTAGAGAGCAGGGAGCTTCTGAGAAGGTCCCAGGAGGCTCCCGAGACGGCGCTTCAGACACCTGAGGGCCTCCAAGAAGCCCCCCCGTCTTCCGAGACGCTCCCCCCCGTCGAGCGCAGCCCCCCTCGCGTTGCCATCCTGAGCGCGCCGCCAGCGCACCCAGACCCTCAGCGTCATGCTTTTTCACGACGCAGACCCCCTAAGGCCTCTGCCCATTTCACGGGGCTGGTGTGTGTCCTCCTATTGTTGACAGCCCCAGGGCCGGATGAGGGCCCCCAGAGGCCGAAAATGGCAATGCATCTTCCGCCGTGATGTTTGTCACGCCGCGAGGGGGTGATGGTTGATGATGCTGATGATGCTGCTGATGATGCTGATGATGATGATGATGATGATGATGGTGGTGGTGGTGGTGGTGATGATGATGATCCTGAGGATGAGTATGCTGATGATGACGATGATGTTCTCTCTCTCAACGCTACAGCGCTAAGTCACCTGCGCAGCCTGTTGCAACAGTTGTGGCTCGCAGGGGAGTTTGCCGCCGCAGGACTGTGGCAACACCTGCGGCAAAACGGGTGTTTCAAGGCTGTGGCTCGCAGGGTGTGGGACGACCCCCCTCTTCTTCATCTTCTTAGTACTGCGACTGTTAGTATGCTTGATTCTTCTTCCTCCGAATAGTATTATTCGTCGTATTTCATTGGTACTTGTTATTACGATGCATAGTATTCGTATGAGTACGACTTGCATTGTTTGTACCATTCGTGTTAGCATTCGTAGGGTTAGTATCGTTGTTATTAGTGTTAGTATTATTAATAATAATAATAATAATAATAATAATAGTAATAATAATGATGATGATGATAATAATAGTAATAATAATAATGATAGTCATACTAGTATTAGCAATGCCAGTATTATCAGTTGTGTTTGTATTAGTAGCGTTTGTATTCGTATTGGTCGTATCAGTATGATTCCTCTTCTTCTCATTCTGCCTCTTACTATCACACTTCTTCGACGCTCGTGTGAGGGGGAGCAGCGGCGGGCGCCCCGGGGAGGCGGGCGTCATCGACCACATTTTCCTCGGGGGCCCCGTGACGCTTCAGCGCCGCGCCCTCGGCCTCTCCCGGCTGAGGGCGCCGCCGCGTCGTCGCCAGAGGAGGGGGGACGAGGAGGGGAGGAGGGGAGGAGGAGAAGGAGGAGGAGGAGAAGGAGGAGGAGGAGGGGGGAGGGGGTGGGAGGAGGGGAGAGGGGGGGGGAGGAGGGGCGAAGGGGACAGGAAGAGGAGGAGGAGGAGGAGGAGAAGGAGAAGGAGGAGTTGGGGGAGGGCGACGCACACTGGGGCGCTGCGGCGTACTCTTGAAGGCATGCTGCCCCCGACTGTCCTGCACGTCGTGGTTCTCGCCGCTGCGCGCTGCTGCAGCACTGGGGGCCTTCCTTCCATCGAGCGCTGCGCTCCGACCCCTTTGCTTCCTCTCTGCGCTCTGCCACCAAGCCGCGACGGCTCGAGCAGGCCACCGCCTGTCCAACGCAACGAGGACGGCGACGAGAGAAGGACGAGGTGGCGGAGGAGTCCGGAGACAGGAGGAGGAGGAGGAGGAGGAGGAGGAGGAGGAGGAGGAGGAGGAGGAGGAGGAGGGGGATCCAGGCCTCCCACACTGGGCCTGAGCAGGTGGGGTCGGAGGATCGCGCCGCATCGCCGATGCGTCGGCGACCCGGCGCAACCCAGATCCCGACGTCGGCGATGCATCGGCGGTGTGGTGCGATCCGTTGGCCCCGTCTGCCCTGGACCTGACTAGGAGGCCTCCCAACGATGAGGGGGAGGAGGAGGAGGAGGAGGAGGAAGAGGAGGAGGAGGAGGAGGAGGAGGGAGGAAGGAGGAGGAGGAGGGAAGAGAAGGAGGGGGAAAGGGAGGAGGAAGGAGGGGGAGGATAGGAGGAGGAGCGGAGTGGGAGTGGAAGTTGGGGGAGGACGGGGGTGGGAAGAGGGGGAGGAGGGAGGAGGGGAGGGGGGAAAAGGGGGAGGAAGGAGGAGGAGGAGGAGGAGGAGGAGGAGGAGGAGAAGAGGAGGAGGAGGAGGAGAAGGAGGAGGAGGAAGGCCAGTACAAACCCAATGCTCATCAACGACGCTGCAAAACATCATCCCTCCAAGATCCTCTCGTGCTCGCAGGCTCGTGCAAGGATTAAGCTTCGTTGCGGAAAGCGCCCCGTTGGAAGACAACCGTCTGAAAAATTAAACCGTGCGAAAGCACCGTTGGATTTCAACGCCGCGAATACATGTCAATTACAGTTGAGTATTGGCAATCCTCAATCGTGCGAGAGCACCATTTTTGGGACGTCAACACCGTGAATCACCGTGACCGTCGCGCCCTGACAATCTTAAATCGCTCCACAACACAATTTTCTGAGATGCCAACTAAAAGTTCTCTTGAATCAATTTTTTAAACTGTCAAGACGACTGTGCGCGGCGCTGAGGCGAGAGCAACATTTTTAAATCGGCCCGCCCTCCACCAGTAAATATTTTGCATTGCTTTGGGGACGAATGCGCACGGAGGGACGGCGAAAGCCACACGTTGAAAACAACCCGCCCTCTATCCGCGAACCTACTGCAACTTTCAAGCTTCAGGATCACATATGGTGAGGAAGTCTCATGCGCGAAACGCCCGGCGCGCCCGACCGACCCGTCTCGAGGCGCGACGAGGAAAAGTTATATAGAAGGAAGAGGGGTTGATGTGGAAGAGTGGGCTGCGGCGGCGGAGGAGGAAGACGAGGAGCAGGGCAGAGGATGAGGATGGGAAGGAGGAGTTGGGCGGTGGAGGAGGCGGGAGGGGAGGGGGAGAGGCTCTTCCATGGCGTCGCAGTGTTTTCGTGACGCGAGCCTCTGGGAAGATCGTCCGCCTCGACTTGTCAACCTCAGCCTGTGTTTGGGGGGCCCTGCGACGGCCTCCAGAGGCTGAAAGGTTGGCCGTTACTATTATTTGGCGTCGCGCGGATCCGAGGGGAGGGGGAGGGAGGGCCCAACCGCGAGATGGCGGGCGCGGCCACCCTCACTCTTGCTTCTTGCCTCCTGCGCTTTCCCCCTAGTTGTTTTTTCTCTTCGCATGTCACGCGCCTCTCGACTGCACCGCTGTGGTGTTGCGTGCGTGCTCGAGAAACAGATCCGTGCCCTCAGCTGTCAGGAAATTCGCGCACGACTGTGCGTGGCGCCCAGGCGAGAATCGCAGTTTGGATCCGACTGGCCATTCATCGTTGTTATTCTTGGATGCATGAAATTCAGGATAGTAGATTGCAGCGCGCGGCCTGATCCACGGACACGGCTGGTGGTTCTACAGGGAGAGTTATTTTGAAGTGAGAAGGATGGAGGAGGAGAAGAAGGAGGATGATATAGACTAGGATGAGGATTAACAACAGAAGAGAAGATATGGGGGAGGGGAGGAGGATGAGGAGGAGGAGTAAGAGGAGGCCCGGGAGGATGCTGGTGAGCAGGCCGGGGAGGAGGAGGAGGAGGAGAAGGAGGAGGAGGAGGAGGAGAGGAGGAGGAGGAGGAGGAAGAGGGGTGAAGAGGAGGAGGAGAGGTGAAGAGGAGGAGGTGGATCATGAGGATGAGACTGGAAGACTGAGCACGAGGGAGGAGTTACGGCGTCACGGATAATGCGACCATGTTGGTAGAAAGAAAATGTTGAAGCAGGTTACGAGCCTTCATCCAACAAGATTCGCCTTCGGAGCTCAGCTTCATTGTACATTGTGGGTCGCAAACAACGCCAAATACGAATGTCAGCCAGCGTGGACCCCACACACCGATTTCTTGCAACCGATGTGAAGCAGTCGATATGATGCAAGGCATGTGGCTCAAGATTTGTGGTGCAATCTAGACTGTAAGGATTACGCGTGAGGCAGCCTGTGTTCAGCAATACCTGTGATGCAATACGTGTTGTGCAATTTATGTCAAGCAATCTGTGTGGTGCAATCAGTGTATGGTTTATTATTTGGTGCAACCTATGTGATGCAACATCTGTGAAGTAATGCGACCACGGGGCGGCGACGGCGACCACAAGACGGCGGTCCCGACGCGCAGGCCCAGACGACAGGCGGCGACGGGGCGGCGACGGCGACCACAAGGCGGCGAACACGACGCGCAGGCCCAGACGACGGGCGGCGAGGAGGTTGCGACGTGGCGGCAAGCTCCTGAGCGAGCCCGCTCCAAGATTCATTGATACCCCTCTTGATACTTGGCACCGCTGTCCAGCACGACAACTATAAATTGAACCAACAAAGTTGCATCTGGTAGGCTGGATCTCGATCTTCGCCACGATGGTCGAGCAGGGCTGTCAAACACCGGCACGACATCCAAGGGCTGACTGTATTGGGCAGCTTCCTCCGAACCTGAAGCACCTGCTGTCCGAAAAGCCCGTGCATGTGGTGGCCGTATGATCCTGCCGCTTGCGCCGCGTGCCTCCTGCAACCGCCCATGTCGCCCCCGATATTCACACGGTACCCTCGGATGCGCAGCTTTTCGGCGATGATGTTCGTTGCCGTGATGCGCGTGCAGATGACAATTTTCTTGGTGGAGATTGCCAGGACTGCCGCCTGGATGTTGGCACAGCTTTCTGCTAGACACCGCACCATGCGCTCCATCATCACCCGTCGCGAGACTCGAGTACTCTGGCTCAAACCGTGGATCCACAGCTTGTGCTGCATCCCCACGTGCAACGTCGTGATGTGTTGCATGATGCGATTGTGACGCGCTTGGCGAACCTGAACTCCGATCGAAGTCCTTGGACTATCTACTTCGTGGGGTCGAAGGAGGCTGAGAGGTCTTCTGCTTGACGTACGCACTTGGCCCCCACGCATTGGAGCAATTTGATCCTTAGGATCTCGGCTGGGAAAGCTAAACGTAGCCCTGCCTTGCCGAGGGCCATCCGCCCAGCAGTGTCATCAAAACTTGCCAGATCCGGCAAACCAAGGCCAATCTCCGTGGATAACCTCGCTGCCAGCTCCTCACCGATGCTCCTCAGGAGAACTTGTCGGGCAGCTGCATTTCCACGACGAGTGGCAGCATCTCAGTGCGCCTCGCACTGGTCAGTCCATGTACGAACGTGGACCTCTCGCACTTGTGACCACAGCCGCAGCCAAGGGCAACCTGGAAGTACCCAGGGGGCGTTAGAGACGATCTGCTCCCATAGCTCCAGACACCTCCATTCGACCCGACGCCTCTCCTCTCTCAGAGTAGCACCATCAAGGGGGGGGGGGGGGCTGGCGCCAGGAAGGGTTGACAGATACAACTCATGCAGTCCATTTAAAGGTTGGTTGGGTGAAGCCGAAAGTCCTGTCAGCGTGAGCACTTCTAGTCCAAGATCCCCTTGGGATGCACCAGCGTCTGGTCACCAACCACCATGGTGAGGAGGAGGAGGACGACGACGGCGACGACAAGGACGAGGACAAGCATCAGAAAGAGGGTGATATGGAGGACGCAGGGGGAGGGGCAGGAGGAGGAGGAGGACGAGGAGGAAGACGGTTCAGAAGAAGGAGGGAGGGAGGGAGGGAGGGAGGAGGAGGAGGAGGAGGAGGAGGAGGAGGCGGAGGAGGAGGAGGTGGCGGAGGAGGAGGGAAGGCACAACCGCCGCTTCGCGGGAGGACCGCTCCGCGAGCGGACCGCCTCGCGCCGACGCGCGCCGCCCGCGGGCCGCTCCGCCGGCGGGCCCGCAGCATGCGGGGGCCTGGGCGGGCGGAGCGGGCGGGCGGGCCCCGACGAGCGGGCCGGGCGGGCGGGCCTCACGGCGGGCGGGGCGGGCGGGCGGGCGGCACGTCGAAGCGGGGCGGGCGTGTCAGCAGGCGTAAAACAGAGCTAGGATCGGGAGAAATCGCTCCAGAGCGTTCCGGAGCGCTCTCAGAGCGTTCCGGAACGCTCTGGAGCGGCCGCGGCGCCCAATACATCCTCCAAACCCGCCGATTCTCAGAGATTTCGAGTTATCCCGACCCGATTTTGTCCCGATCTTCGCGTCGTTTTAAAGCGGTCGGGCGGCGGGCCCTCGGCTCGCACGGCGGGGTCGGGCGGGCGCGCGGGACACGGAGTCGAGCCGCGGCGAAGCGTCCCAGCTGGCCCATAGGCCTGCCAAAGAGTGTTCTCAGAACGTGTTTGTGGTCTGCGCGGAGTGTTCTTAGAACATTTCTGGCTGGGACTGTCTTGATTCAACACATCGGGTCTATGTTCTGACAACATTTCTTGTTCTTCGAGTATTTTTGAGTTCTAAGAACATGTCGTGGTAGGCCTATAGGAATGCCGGGACGGTCGGTCCCTGCTCAAGTGAAGCGGGCGGGCCGGATGTCAAGCAATCGAGTTGGAGGGTGGACCCTGGCGGGTGGGGCGGGTGGGCGGACATTGACAGGCGAGTCGGGCGGGCGAGGCGAGGCGGCTTTGGACCGAAGCGGTCCGAGCGCGAGACGGTCCACGGTTGGAGCGTTGCGTGGACGAGGCGGTCCGCGGGCGACGCGGTCCAGAGCGAAGGCGAAGCGGTCTTCCAGTGAAGCGGCCCTTCCATATGGAGGAAGAAAGGAACAGCGACACCAACACCACCATCGGACCAATTCCAGCGAGAAGGTCCAAGATGCCTCCCCTGGCTGGGGATACGTAGGGAATGTCTCCCGCGATAGGGGGGGATCACACCATCATGGGGGCCCCTCCTGGCTCCTCCCGCTGGTGTTCCCTGGTGGTGTTGGTGCCGCTTTTCCGTGTTCCCAATTTGGAGGAGGGAAGGAGGTGGAAGAAGGGAGGAGGGCGAAGGAGGGTTTATGATGATGGTAAGCATGATGATGTTGATGCTGATGATGCTGCTGTTGCTGTTTCTGTTGCTGCTGCTGCTGCTGATGCTGATGATGATGCTGTGATGATGTTGCTGCTGATGCTGATGCTGATGCTGCTGATGATGATGATGATGGTGGTGATGTTTCTGATGATGATGCTGATGATGGTGATGGTGATGGTGATGATGATGATTATGACGACAATGATGATGATGATGATGCTGATGCTGATGCGAATGCGGATGCTGATGCTGGTTTTGATGATGGTGATGATGATGATGTTGATGATGTTGATGGTGATGATGATCTGATAATGATGATGATAATGATGATGATGATGATGATGATGATGATGATGATGATGATGATGATGATAATGGTGATGATGATGATGATGATGATGATGATGATGATGATGATGATGATGATGATGATGATGGTGATGATGATGATGATGGTGGTGGTGGTGATGATGGTGATCAGGATCATGGTGGTGGTGGTAGTAGTGATTATGTTGATGGCGACGCGCCTTAGAGGCGGCGGGCTGCCTGGATATATTGCCCTTTCAGTTCTTGGTCAAGGATTCCTCGTCGGAGTGCTTTCCCGCGCGGGAGGGGCGAGGAGCGAGGACGGAGGAGGAGGAGGGAGCTTTATATGTCTCCCCCCCTTCCTCCCTCTTCGAGGTCATCATACTGCTCCCTCCATCTCCCCCCATCCCTCCTCCCCGCGTCTGTCCCGGGGCTCGAGCTAAGCGGTGTTCGAGCGATTTCGTGGACCGCCTTCGTTTTGTTTCCGTTTCGCAGCAAAGGCAGAACGAAGACAGAGCGAAGGAAAACGACAACACTACGAAAACAACAAACACTGCTTAGCTCGAGCCTTGGTCTGCCTGCCGTCCTTTTTTAACTTCTATCACTCCGCCGGTGGCCCCTGGAGCGGTGCTCCAAAGGTCACCTGGCCCTAGGTTGATCACCCCCCCCCCAGGGCCGACCGGCCCCGGGGGGCGGAGGAGGAACCGGGAACCAGGAGGGGGAGGAGAGGAGGAGGGAGGAGCCCGCCGAAGGCCACGCCTGGGGCCCGATGACCGCCGAGTCGCTCGCGCAGGCGCGGCTCGACATGCTGCCGACTCTGGAGATCCCCAGCGACCATGCGCCGGTCCTGGTCCATGCCCTGGGCGTATGCGGGGGCCTCTTCATCTCAGAGGCGACGATAGGGGCGAATAGCTCAGGGGCGGGCATTGCGCGCATTCGTCGGGGAGCCTCGTCGAAGATATGGACCACGGGCGCCCGTGGATACATGTAGTGCCCCCCCCTGGGCTATTCGTTCCTTGTCGTCGCCTCCGAGCATCCCTGGTTTCGTCTGTCAGCGGATGAAGAGCGGTGTAAGAAAAAACTTCCGCCATCGGAAACGCCTGTGTTACCCCGACGTGCCACCGCAGGGGTAACAACTTTTCAGCCGCCCTGGGACAGGCATTCCCGATGGCGCAGAAAAAAACAGACGTAGCATCCCGCAGGCAGCGGCGGGGACGTCGGCAGCCGGCGAGGCTCTGAAGAAGCCCTCCGCAGGCCACGAATTCTGACAAGTTGTACAACGAGCCCGCCGCAAGCGCCGATTTTTGGTTGAAACAATGTGGGTGGGTCGCGGGGTGGGTCGCGGGTGGGTCGCGGGTGGGTCGCGGGCCGGGTCGCGGGCCGGGTCGCAGGTGGGGTCGCGGGTGGGTCGTTGGTGGGTCGCGGGTGGGTCGCGGGTAGGTCGCGGAGGGGTCGCGGGTGGGTCGCGGGTGGTTCGCGGGGTGGGTCGCGGGTGGGTCGCGGGCCATGTCGCGGGTGGGTCGCGGGGCAGGTCGCGGGCCATGTCGCGGGCGGCGGGCAGATCGGGCGGGTAGACCCTATTGGGCGGGTCGGAAAGGCGGGCCCATACGGCCAGGTCGAGCAAGCGGGTTGTTGACTCGACTTCAAGAGGGACGGACAGGGGACCGACCATGACGACGACGACGACGACGGCGACAACGAGCGAAAGCGAGAGCGAGAGAGAACGACAGCAGGGCCACGAAGGACACGAAGTAGGCCACGAAGGGCGACAGCGGGGACACGAAGGGAATGCGTATGGGGCCACGAAGAGCGCGAACGAGCGGGGGCCACGAAAGGCAGATAATGCGGGGCCACAGAAGGCAACGATGGGGCCACTGAGGGTAGCAACTGGGCCACGTAGGACAGTGAGGGGGCCACAAACGGCGACAGCGGGGCCACGAAGGGCATGCACATGGGGCCACAACGGGCACGATTCCTGGGTGCCTGGGTGTCGGGAGCGCGGCGCTTGAACAAATTGCAAAAAAATCCAACGCAAGGGCGTTATTCTTAAGTGGATTGCAAGCAAGTCTCCAGCGACAGCGCGACTCCAGAGCGCCGGGAGAGCGATTCCTGAATCAATTGTAAGGAAGTCCCAAGCGAGAGCGCGATTCCTTAGTAACATGCATCGAAGTCTCAGGCTGGAGAGGGTGTCCTGGCTAAAGTGTGAGGAAGTCTCTGGCGGGAGCCGTTGTTGCTGTTGTAATCCAAGGGCCAACAACCCAGTTTGAGCCGAATGATTTCCCTTGATAACAAAAAACAGGTTGCGAGCCCCGGGGGAAGCACGTCAGTTGAAACAACAAAAATGGTCACCGGATGGGATTAACAAAAATTATTCTTCTGTGGTGAGAGTTCAACAATTATTGCAAAAGTGTTTGCTACTCTCCGCTGGCGTGCCATTAAGCACGTGTGTCCCAAACCGTCGATACCCACCTTCTTCGTCTACGATCGTGTCCCCTTGGGGGTATATCTTCCTGACCTGCAACGTGTATTTCGTGAAGCATCTAAGGCAGGGGAAAAGAGGACGGATGGAAGGAGGGGACAAGGGGGAGGGAGGAGGGGAGCACGAGAGAGAGAGAGAGAGAGTAGCAGGAGGGGGGCTAGGAGCGGAAACACGTGGCAGAACCAGACGGGCAGATCGGGCGGGTAGACCCTAATGGGCGGGTCGGGAAGGCGGGCCCAAACGGCCAGGTCGAGCAAGCGGGTTGTTGAAGCGTGCGTCCTGCATGAATCGCGACGAAGTCTCGAGCGATAGCGCGATTCCGAAATACATTGTGCGCAAATCAACGGCGAAAGCGTGATTCTTGATTGCATTGTGAGGAAGTGTCAGGCGGGAGCCGTTGTTGTTGTAGGTCGGGGCCCAACAACGCAGTTTGGTGACCCCTCGCTTCCCCTTGTTTAAAAAACAGGGTGCAAGTCCTGGGGGAAGCACTTGAATCGAAACATACAATGGTTACCAGAGAGGTGGGATCAACAATATCTGCACTTCAGAATCGAGAATCCCACACTAAAAGCAACAACAACGACGACAACAACAACGATAACGACAACAACCGTGCGAGCCGCAGAACCTGATTGCAGCCACTCGCCCAGGGACAGTGAATGACCGTTCGGCCCCCTCACTCTCATGTCATACCATTCCCCGCCCGCTATTGAAACGATCCGGCCTTGGTTGGGACATGCGTGGCCTTGCTCTGCAAGCCTGCGGGCGCGCGGCGTAGCGATATCCGCTGAGGCAAGATAAACTCGCTTACACGACATGTCAGCCAACTGTGTTGAGTAAGACAACGGGGTTCTTGGCATAGGTTGTTGCATTGCGCCGGCAACTACAATGAATACGCTCAGTCCGCCAGCTTGAGACGAGCCTAACATATCAGTGTAATGGCCAACGGCCCAGAACAGACGGACAGGGCTTGATCAGTATGTTTCGATGATTTGTCAAGCATGCAGTGTTCGATGATTTGTCGTTAAGCACGCCGTTGGATCTAGGGGAGCCCCGTCAAAACGAGAGAATGATAGTCAGGAGGCTTGGGCCCCCTTGTGTGTCTATCCACCCTCCTGTGCGGATGCACTTGTAAGCTGTGCTCAAAATTGCGCCTTTCAGTTTTTAACCGCTGCAACGCTGTTTAGAAAGAAACCGCTTTGTGCAACGATAGCATTTCCAAGCGCAGGCGATGTATCCGTTTCTACAGTTGACGTGCGACTTTTGATTGTTTTTTTTTTTTTTTTTTTTTTTTTGTTTTTGTTTTTTTTTTTTTTTTTTTTTTTTTTTTTTTTTTTTTTTTTTTTTTTTTTTTTTCTTTTTTTTTGGGTTTTTTTTTTTTTTTTTCTTTTTTTTTTTGTTTTTTGTCGCATCGGGCTTTTAGCATTGTGCCGGCAAGTTCCGGGGAGCAGTGGACGCGGTACGGTGTGGAACCCGTTTCTTTTGCCGCTCCACCCTTCATGCGCGTGGCTTCCCCCCTTTTTTTCCATTTCTCTTTTGTATTTCGTTCTTTTTCTTCTTTTTTCCTTTTAATTTTTCTCTTTTTTGCTTTTTTATTTTTTTTATTATTTGTTTTTTGTTTTTTCTGCTCTTTTTTTATTTTTTTTTTTTCTTTTTATCTTTTTTTCCTTTTTTTTTTTTGTCTCTTTTATTTTTTTTCACCCCCCTCCTGCTCGGACCTGATGCACCCCGCGGCCTGTTCAAAACTGCGACCTGGAGAGTTCAACCACCCCCAGAGGACCACTACTCGGCGGCGCGAACGAGGGGGGAAGGGGGAAGGAATGAGAAGGAGGAAGGCCTTCTCAAAAGGCGGCGGGACTTCTCAGAAGCCCCTCGCGCCTTGAGAAGTATCACTGCTTTCTTTATTCTCTACCAATTCCTTCTTCTGAGTGTCGACCTTAGCCATCAACCCACGTACATTCCCCCTTCCCTGTCCACATCTCTCCGTCGTTCTGCCGACTACTTGTCCTGCCCTGGTCGTCGGGGAAGGTTTAGAAAGCTTTTCAGAAGGCAAGGGGTGTTCCGAGCCCTCCGAGAAGGCCCGCCCCTTCTCACTTTCCCCCCGGGCTCGCCGCCGACACGAGGAATCCAGACGGGAGTTCAGGCCAAAGCTTCCAGACTTTGTGCCGCTGCGATGCTCGCGCTCGGCGGCGCCGTGAGGTTTTCTGCCGACCGGACCGGCTGCAAGTCTGCAGTCGGACCTCTCCGCCCGCCGCGGACGATCCGCGTCGCTTATCCGATCCCCACCCCCACTGGGCCATGGTTGTGGCACGGTCGGACCGAGGCATAAGCTCGAGGTCGGTTCGCGGAGGGTGCCCTAATGCTCTTCGTGTTTGCTGGATGTTTCTGCACATCCTGGGGGAGGGTAATGGAGGATGACGATTAATAAATGACCGGGGGTCGTGTTCACGCGGCGGCGCCCGGGATGACGATTAGAAAAACCGGCCGCGGGCTGGAAAGCTATTCTTTTTAATCGTTCTCCTCCCGTCAGAAAGCTGTGCAGAAAGAGCAGGAAACTATTTGTTCAATCGTTCTCCCCCATTTTTTTATCAATCGTCATCCCGCCTTACCCTCGAGTCTTCTTCAGTTTGGCTGGCGGAGGGCCTCACGCGCTTGAGGGCCCAGGCCTGGCCGCGTCCCAGCCCCAGCAGCCCCGACCCCCCCCTGAGTGGGGAGAGGCCCCGCGAAGCCCGAAGGGAACAGCGCACATCCCCACCCAGGGGGGCGGGGTGAGTCGGCCTGTGGGGCCAAGGTTAAGTCGGGCGTGTCCCCCTAATTACAGGGGGATCTTCGACGAAAAATACAAACAAAGTACCCCAAAAATGCCCCAAAAAGATTGAAAATATTCAAAAAATAGTCCCCATATTATTGTTGGACTATTTTTCTTTTGAATTATTTTGGGGGTATGTTTTATTTTTCGTTGAAAATCCCCCTGTAGGGGGTCAGGCCCGACTCAAGGCCAAGGCCATGCCTCAGGGGCCACGTTCGGGGGGATTCGGGGAACAAAAAGTGGCATAAACATAAGAACTCGGAGGTCCGCGCGGATTTCTCGGATCGGCGCTGGACCCCCTTCCCTGGCGCGCGGAGCGCGCCCGGAGGCGCCGCCGGGGGGCCCCAGCGCCGATCCTCAGAGCCCCGAATCATCAGGGGTAACTCGGGTCATGGCTAACTCGGGTTTGTTTTTCGGGAATCCGAACCCGAGTTGCCCCGGGCCCGAGTCACCCCGGATAATTCGGGCGCCCAAGATCCGAGGAACCCGCGCGGACTTCCCAGTTGTTATGTTTATGCCACTTTTTGTTCCCCCAGGATCGGTGGAGCGATGCGCAGCCCCATGGGGCCCCGTCCGAGGTCGACCTCCTCGTGCAGGGGCTCGCAGACGCCGGGTGACAGGCTCGGCGGCCGGCCGAGGGCCGAGCTCCGGCGGCGGCAGCGGCGCGCGTAGCTCTCCGGGCCGCTTCCGTCGCGCCCCGCGCGAGCAGCAGGAGGCCGCCTGACCGACCCCTGGCAAGCAATCCCCATCATCGGACGTCCCCCTCGCCTCGCCCCACGGCGTGTGTGTGTGTGGGTGTGTGTGGGTGGGTGTGTGTGTGTGTGTGTGTCTGTGTGTCTGTCTGTCTCTGTCTGTCTCTGTCTGTCTCTGTCTGTCTGTCTGTCTGTCTCTGTCTGTCTCTGTCTGTCTCTGTCTGTCTCTGTCTGTCTCCGTCTGTCTCTGTCTGTCTCTCTCTGTCTCCGTCTGTCTCCGTCTGTCTCTGTCTGTCTCTCTCTCTGTCTCTCTCTCTGTCTGTCTGTCTGTCTGTCTGTCTGTCTGTCTGTCTGTCTGTCTGTCTGTCTGTGAGAAACGCATTGTGGTAGGTGGGTACTTGGAGAGAGTGCAGAGCAGAGGTTCGGCTGGTGATGTGGTCACTCTTGGGTCTTTATCGGGAAACCGCCCCGCGCCAAAACAGCCACCAAACGCGTTTGGTGACTGTTTTGGCGCGGGGCGCCCTGGATACGATATTCTGGAAGTTCGTATCTGGGCCCGGGGCAAACGGCCTCTGGGAGGCGCGCCGACCTCCGTGGCTTGGTCCTGGGACGCGTTCTTCTGGGCCGCAGTCGGTTCCCGGCGTATCCGTTTCCCCGGTCGGTTCCCCAGTTGTCCGTTTGCCCGGCCCTGGTCGGTTCCCCAGTTGTCCGTTTGCCTTGTTGTATTGTTATCTGCAGGACTGCAGCCAGCAGGCAGCCAGTAGCAGCAGGGGAACTGAGCATCAAATTTTGGTTCCCCGGCGTGATGCCCGTCATTCGCTTGTATTGGCTCGAAAGGGGTGCGCGAGCCAGTTGCCCTGCTTTCAGCCGCCATGGCAGACCCCTTGAGCAAAATGGCATGGTTTGTCAGGACCTTTGCTCGTGCTCCGGAGGCGATTGAGGCATTGCCTTCACTGCTTTCGGCTCTCGAGCGCGAAGGTCTCGTCGAGCCAATCGACCTCGGCTTCCTTGTCTCCGAGGGTCGTTTGAAGGCCGGTGTCGCTGAACAACTGTTCGGTGAACACCCGCCTGCGGCCGGGCTTGCCCTGCTGCTCGCCGCCGCGCTGGAGTCCGACACTTGGAAAGACGCCTGGGCGGAGCACCAGCGCGACGTCCTCTACGCGGCTGAGCAGTCGCGCATCCTCGGCCCCTCGCGGCGCGTCGTGGAGCCTTCGGGCTTACGGCGCGCCCGGCGCGGCGTTTCGGGTGTGGCTCCTTTTGTCCGCAAGGCAGAAGGCGCTTATCCGGAGTCGCCACCTCCTATCAGTCGCCCCCGGGCGGCTGGTGTGGAGTGCGTCTCGGGGTCGGTTTCGGTAAGCGCCACTCCGGCGCTTCCGGTGTCCGCCCCCCCGCCCCGAAACCGTCTCGGCCTCCGCGTGGCGGCCCGCGCTCGGCGCGCCGCGCTGGGGATCAAAATGGTCCCCCGCGCCGCTCGCTTCCGGTCCACTCGGCCGGAGACGAGCTGGGCGGAGGTCGAGAACGCACGGTTCGAGCGGGCTTACCGGGTTGCCCACGGTATCTTTCTCCGGTTTTGCAAGGGTACCCGACGGTACGCCGAACTCCACCCGGACGGCTCTCTGGACCAGGCCCGCCTGGAGATTCACATGGGTTCCTATTCTAACCGGATCAAAAGCGCCAAGAACCTTGAGGGCCGTTTGTGCAAGGTTAGGGAGTATTTCAACGAGGCCCTACTTGACGGGTGGGATCCTTGCTGCCCAGACGAGTGGTCCATCGCCCGATGGGTTCGGAGCAATTCGGTGCATGGGAAAACGGGCTGCCGCCGTGCCGGCTACGCGTTGGACTATGTCGAAAAGGTCTTCGGTATTGAGGTCCACGCAAACTCCCCCATGGTTCGTGCGCAGCGTGCTTGGACTGGTACCGCGCCACACCTCCCGGAAGAGCCGCCGTCCTCTGCCCAGATGTTCCCGGAGCACCTTGCGGTCAAGCTGGAGGGGTTAATTGCAACCGATTTGCCGGGGCCGCTGAAGTGTTTTGTCGGGGCGTATTTAGCGATGTTTCACGGTGTGCTCAGGTGGTCCGACTTTCAACGGTCCGTCAACCTACGATTTGGGCCAGACGGCGTGACCGCTCAGGCCCATATGAAGCGTCAGCGCTTCCGTGTGGCCTGGGCAGCGCGACGTATTGGTTTTTCTGGTATCGACTGGGCCGCGTCTTGGGAGCGGGCACTGCAAGCCGAGGGCCTTCCCGGGAAGGACTTCGTTTTGTACCGGCCTCTCCAAAATGGGCAGCGATTTTCGACGAAAACTGCAAACTACGATTCCTCCTTGATTCTTTTTCGGCACACATTGGTTGCTCACCTTGATTTGTCTGTCGAGGACGCCGCGAAGTTTACGCTGCACAGCCTGAGGCACACCTACCCCACCCTCATGAAACAGCTCAAACTCAGCTCTGAGGACGTTGAGGATGCGGGCCATTGGGCACGTGGCTCCGAGATGGTTCGCAAGTACGATGCGGAACTCACCGTCGGCGAGCTTAGGGCCAAAGGGCAGGTTCGGGTCGTGGTTGCACAAGGGTGGCGTTCGGTTCAGCGTGGGACTTTACCAGTGGAGTTCGACGTGTCGACCTCGAGAACGGCGCCGTGTGGAAGTGCTCCCTGTTCGTCGGGCCCGCCCGAAGCGTCGACTTCAAAAACGGCCCCGTCGGCTTGCTCCACAGCTTCCCTTCCCGATCGCGTGGCACCTCCAGAGCTCCATGCTTGCGAAATATCAGAGCTCCGGGAGGTCCTTCAGACGGGTCGCAATCGCCTCCACTATTATGGGGGCGATGGTTACACGATATGTCGCTCCTGGCGCTGTGGCACCCCCGAGGCCCCGGAGGCGACCGCGGAGTTCGATGGTGTTGCGATCTGTGCGGTTAAGGCAGAGGGGCGCTCAGTCCCGTGCTCTCGGTGCACCTGGAAGCTTGGGTGACTGTGGCGCCGTGCTTGAGTTGGGGGCGCCGGCGGGTCTCATGGGCGGCGGCGCGGGGTTCTTGGGCGCGCGGCCGCCGCCATTGAGTGGCGCAGACCACCGCCGCTGGAGTCGCCCATGTAGTCCGCCAGCGGCTCTGGGAAAAAACAGTGCCACATTCAACTCAGAGCCTCTGTGAGAAACGCATTGTGGTAGGTGGGTACTTGGAGAGAGTGCAGAGCAGAGGTTCGGCTGGTGATGCGGTCACTCTTGGGTCTTCATCGGGAAACCGCCCCGCGCCAAAACAGCCACCAAACGCGTTTGGTGACTGTTTTGGCGCGGGGCGCCCTGGATACGATATTCTGGAAGTTCGTATCTGGGCCCGGGGCAAACGGCCTCTGGGAGGCGCGCCGACCTCCGTGGCTTGGTCCTGGGACGCGTTCTTCTGGGCCGCAGTCGGTTCCCGGCGTATCCGTTTCCCCGGTCGGTTCCCCAGTTGTCCGTTTGCCCGGCCCTGGTCGGTTCCCCAGTTGTCCGTTTGCCTTGTTGTATTGTTATCTGCAGGACTGCAGCCAGCAGGCAGCCAGTAGCAGCAGGGGAACTGAGCATCAAATTTTGGTTCCCCGGCGTGATGCCCGTCATTCGCTTGCATTGGCTCGAAAGGGGTGCGCGAGCCAGTTGCCCTGCTTTCACCCTCCCGCAGCCGCCCGAACCATGGCAACTATTTCAGCCGAGTTGCAGCAGCTTGCGACTCAGAACGGCGTCCCCGAACCGCACTGCACCTGGTTGGCTTCTGAGGGGGTCCGATCCCCCGAGGACTTGGGCATCGCAGCAACCAAGGAGGAGCAGGTCGAGGCGAAGCTCATCACCCCGGCTAAGAGCGGCGGGGTCACCATCAACACCCTTGGCGACAGCGTGAAGATCACGAAACTGCGGCGGGCTTGCCGTGCACTTGTGGAGCGCGCTGCTGAAGCCAGCGGCGGCCAGCCGGTGGCCATGGACACCCCGCTGTCGGAGCCAGAACTCCGGGAACTCAAGATGGCTTGGGTGCGCCGTC